CCCCTCATTTGATGCAGACTGATATCCTACTTTTTTGTTGAAGATTCCCTTGAGTGTCGGTTTCATAAAGCATGATATAGAGATCTATTCATTCATTTCCACTTGGCCACCAATAAAGGTCTATTAAGTTTATTGATCTCTTAATGTTATAATCTTAAAAACTCAGGTTTAATCAAGTTCTTGCTTCAGGGTGATGAGTTTGATGTTGGGTCAACATTCCATTGAAAAATCCCAACTATCATCCATCGCTGCACAATGGTTTGTCCAACAGAGAGAGAAAAGGCTTACAAAGTGTGCTGTTTGTGCATCCTGCTTGGCTGGACATAGAGTTTTACGGCTGAATGATCAAAGAAAATATTGATTGAGGCAACGAAAAGGTCAAAAATTAATACAGATTCAAAAGACAGGAAGCAGATATATTCAGACACATGTACATTTAGATGTACAAGTGATCAACCATCAGCCAAGAAGCTGTTTGGATCTTTTTTTAGAGGCTTGTCAGAATCAAACTTGTACAATATGCACACCTTTCTACCAGTGATGCTGCCAAAGAGTTAAAAAAAAAACTTCTACTTGTTGAATTTAGAGCAAAATCCACCACATAAAATTCTTCTGTAATTTTCTTTAGAAAACAGGTTCTCTTCAATTATTTACCTCCTTAATGCCGGCTTCTTTCAATCTGCTCACCTAAGTTTGAATTCTTTGTGTTTTAACAGTACATTTCAATCCAAGCCAAAGTAACCCAGATGACATCCCATTACATCATCAGGGTAATTTATTCAGCTGTTTAAGGAGCTGTGCTCGAGGTTCAAATACAATGAGATGCATGTGTATAATCGTGTGCGATGCCAGTTATAATTAATAAGGAGTCAACAGTAGCTTGATTTGACATTACTTTCAAAGACAGTGAATGATGTTAAAGGAAGACGACGTCTTGCAGCGATAGAGATTTCACTGAAATGAGGGACTATTTTCTCTGCCAACAAAATAGAATCATTTAGCTTTCTAAAATACTAATTCCATAAGCACATAGATTTGTCATATACACTATTCATTTCAAGTTTAGCCCGAACACAAACTCCTAAATTATTGTAAAAAGCAAAGTAAATAATTATATTCTAAAATGCCCCTTTAACCATGTTACTGATGCACATGTTGTTTTTTCCGGTTGTTTCCCAAACACATAGAAGTTGAGTCAACTTCCTAAAAAACATGGAGCTGACAGATGAGCGGCCTCCGGTCTCCCAGCTTGGGGGCAAGCAGCTCTGCCAGGCATGGCTGGTGATATCCGGTTTTTAGCACCTCTCCCCTGCCGTGCCACAATTAGCAGTCATTAGCAGCTCTGGGAACGAGGGGGGCGGCAATGAGGGTTCGGGGGGGGGGGGGGGAGCTGGGGAGTGTTAAGGTGGGGGACAGACTGCAGCAGCATGGTGAGAGCTTACAGTGCTAATCAGGTCTGCTTTCTCCATCCCCTGACTGTACTTCATCCACGCCTCCAATGCAAACAAAATGAGTTCTTCTGATGGTGCCGAGAGAAGCACGAGCACATAATAATAACCACACACACACACACACACACACACACACACACACACACACACACACACACACGCTGTCATGTAAAGATTGAAGACGATGAGATGGAGTACTTAACACAGTCTTGAAATCCTGCAGGATCAATACTTAGCCAGAGTTATTACTCAGTGTATTACATTTATATTGGCACAGCAGCTCTGAAAAGCCACCCACGATGCTCGACGAGAAATTGATGTCAAAGGTGACTCCGCACAAAAGGAGCAAAAAGGAAAATGTGGAAGCAAAACCAAATAACAGTGGATCAAGACGGCAGGTTACCATCATTATTGCGCCGGAGCAAAATCACAATGGCCGTCCTTACCGATAAAGACCATCTGAATGGCCATGCATGGCTAAGTGGGCTTCTGAAAAATGGCAGAGGTTGTTGTTTCTTGTCAGCTTGTCCTTTACCACAGCTCTCTGGGCGGGGCGGCTCCATGTCATCGCCCCTGCTGTGATTTGTTGGTCCGATTACAGAGTCAACCACTTTTACAGCTGCTACATCGTCATGGCTAAGCAGGATGTAGCATGTGGAGCCAATCCAGTGTGTTTCCATGTGTGTGTGTGTGTGTGTGTTGTGAAGCTATCCGTGAAAGGAAGACATTAATTTGCTGTATCATTTCATGCTGGGACAGTCACCGCCCCTCAAATACACACACTCACACACACTTTTCTGCGCACTACAGCGAGCCTGTCTGCCATAATAAACAGCTCCAATTGGAAAACTGAATTTAAACCAGGGCCATATCGCATATTTCTGTACATGAGAGAGAGGGGGGCTGAGAGAGAAACACATCAATAAAAATGACACCGTTTAAGAGGCAGACAACCTTTACAAAAGAGCGCCGGGTTTAATGGGCTGCCTGCGTGGCTCATAAACCTCAACCGCATCAGACTGCAATGGAGACCGAGAGGCAGCTTTACTCAAGGCTGCTGCAGGGGAATGTTACTGGACGCAACGACGGGTGTTTCTGCGCGAGTCAGCCAGCAAGAAAACGCACAAACTCGACTCAAGGACTGCAGAGGGATCAGACAGATTGAGGAAGCGAAGTGAACTTTGTGCTGTGAAGATCACAAACAGCTGATTTCGGCAACGCTTTAGTCGCACACATTTAGCATTAAAAACTTTTTTTTAGGGTTTGATTAATTTTTTCGGCTTTTGTAGCAACAATCATGACTCACTGTTACAAGAAACAAACCCATTCTGGACTTAATCAGACCATTAAATACATTTTTTCAACATCGCTTTTTAACTCAGGGCATTTAATGTGTCTTTGTCTATGTGCTTGTGTTTACACTTGTTTGGGTTTACATGAGTGCTCCTGCAGTAGTTCTGGTAAATGGAATTTGTTTATTTTGTGCACAGAAATTTGTTGGAACAGTTTGATCGTTATTCTTGATGCTCTACATTTTGCAAAGTAACACCGCTTGTGATTTCCCCTTTAGTAAATAGCAAAGATAGATATGTCTCACTCATAACTAAATGGCACTCAGCTTGGCATCGTGTTATTGGCTTGGCCAATTTCTTGTACATCAGGAACTGACAATTTCTGGAGAATTTCAAGTAAACATTTTCTTACACATACTTTCTGGCAAATGTGTCTGTCGGTGCATTCTGACCTAAATTGCAATTTTTTTTTTTTTTTTGTGGGTGGAAATGTGCAAGTTTAAGGCATGAACATGTGTCTTTCTGTGTTTTCAAATGGTCATAAATGCAAATCTAGACTATCTTTAGTCAGACAGCGGTTTTAACATTAAAACAAATTAATGCATCAAGCATCTCTGTAGACAATGTTAATATAAACCACATTACTACAGTGCCATATGTTACTGGTTCAAGCATATTAAAGTAACAGTGACTACTTTAATCATTCCTTGTCAGCAATTTAAGGAGTAATGGCTGTAACTAAGACTAGCAAGACTGTTGACGTGTTCAGGTGCTGTGTTGAGCAAATGATTGCTGAAAACACTTTCTGCTCAGGAGTCTTACACTGAAGGAATTAGTTTGTAAAATGTTACAATTGATCAGGAAACAGTAGCAGGCACAAATATATCCACAAGTATATCATATCATTTACATTTAAATACATGCAAATTCATGCAAAACCAGAAACTGACCTCGACTCACCAGACACTACAGAAGTAAATATCTAAATTTCTAAGTTTCAACCATCTTCTGTTTTGCCAGCTGCCAAAAACACTCAACATTTTTCTCATTAATATGCAAATGTGGGAAATCAGATTTGTGCGCTGGATTGAATTAATCCCTGCCACCCCTCCTGCATGTGCTGTAATCACAAATTACAGACAGGCGTCTGACGGTAGACTAAAGCCTTGAATCCTGTCAGAGGGTCTTTTACCTCAGGGGAGAAATCCCAATCAACACGACTGGTCAGACACGAAGATACGACAGCAGCATAGTAATGTGGCTCATCCGCTGTCAGTTTCAAAGGGATATTAATTTTCCCTTTTCTCTTTGCCTTATCTCTCTGTTCTTACAGCGTCATTGTGGAGCAGCTACAGTAGGCACCCGCTGTGACCAGTTTCCTGACATGTTAATCAGTGGGCAATTTGTTCACAGTTAACAAGGGGGATGTGTGGGGAGATAAAATGCCTCCGTCCTGCCTGCACAATTCTGTTACATTTTCAGAGCTAATGAAGAGAGTGCATGAAGACAAAATATGCCACTGGCGTTTATCCTTTCTTAAATTGATCCCATAAGGTGATGATGATGATGCAGCATATAGATAACAGGATGAGAGCTAAATATTCAGATGCAGCATGTAGTTTCAAGAGACCAATATGAAGAGTCAAAAACAAGCATAAACGGTGCGAATAGTTTCGATAATACAGAGCAAGCAATTTATGAGCTTTTTTGCTGATTCTTTTCATCGTTAGGTTCAAGTTCTTCCTTCTCCACCAGGGGCCTGTTCAGAATTTCTTGAGTGAGGTGACCATACTGAGGCACTGACTCATGTATGGGGGGGGGTGGGGGGGGTGGGGGGGTTAAGTAAAGTGTGCAACATTTCGTCTCCCATGCATCATTCATGAATTAAGGAAACAAAAGAGTCCCTCTGAAAGTAAAAAAAACTAAAGCAAAACTGGAAACACAACAATATGTTACATTTAATGCCACAATAGTTGCTGAAGCCTGTTCGACCAATCCGTTTGTTTGAAATCAATTCCCATCTCTGAATGGACAGAGAGCCAATTGGAAGGTTCATCTCCCGTTACCAATGCTCGTTACTTTTAGCCACAATATCATTCTCTGATTGTTGGTTGTGTGTACAGCTGTAATCCTGTTTATGTGTGCATTATTGAATCTGGTTTACGTCCTCATTTCACTGAACACGTGTATTGTGTCTTTCTTGGATGCAGATGGTTGTGTGAAGACATAATAAAATAAAATGAGCATGCACCTGTAAGACGAGTGTCAGGTATTCTGGGCGGGCTGCTGAGATGTTTGTGAGTGGAGTCACGCTGAGGAGTGAAGGTGTGGGTCCCCCATGATCAGCGTCAGTAGGTACATCTGTGAGAGAGGAGGGGAAATATAACAGGACTCATTCAGATGACAAAGAGGGGGCAGACAATGGGCGTAAGCAGCATTATTTCAACTCCCCTCTGACAGTGTTCTAATTTAATGAGGCACACTGTGAGCACCCGGGGAAGTCTGTATCTCGCTTTGTCTGGAGCAAGGTCAATCTGCAAACACAAGGGCAGGCAGACGAAACAACAACATCAACACAAAGCCCGGCCTTGTAAAGCAAAAATGAGAAAGTCCGATTACAAACCACCAACAGAGCAAACAAGAAAAGCCGCGCTGGCAGCCCAATATCCCCATAATTAAGCTGTAATAGCGGACACGTTGTAAACAATGTGTGCTGTGCAAAGAATGGTAATAGCATTTCACTGAAGCGGGGACCCGGCCAGGTTATTAAACGGTGTTGCTCACCTCCCCTGATGTGTTAAAGTGCGACTCCGCAAACAAGGCTACCGTAGTCACAGCAAAGACAGCCAAGCAACAACAACGACAATCTATTCCAAACAAACACGCGCGCACACACACACACGCAGACTTAGAGAGACTGTAACTCCAGCCTTTTGGCTTCACCATGTCCTTCCTCGCTCCATCTGTCTGTCACCACAGACACACAAGCGCCATTCCAGGCAGCAGTCGCTTGGCAACATGGCTCAGCCTCTGAACATATTTCCCAGTTCGGGTAAGATATACACTTTCAGCTCCAGTGTTATTTCATTAGAAGAGAGCATGTGGGTTTGTGTTTCTGCATCTCTGTCTCCAGCCACCTGCTTTTATTGGAGCCTGCCCCCGGAGTGTGTGCAGGGGGAATATTAAAAAGACGAGTGCCGTTGAATGGGATATTATAACATAATTAGCAGGGGTTCCGGGCTGGCACACCGCACGAAAACAGATGGCCTGCTAATTCTATTAGCAGGGCAGAATGACCGCGTAGCTTTTAACACTGGTAGAGTGCTGTGACCTTCAAGCCCCTAGAAGTGGCCTGGTGCACAGACCCCTGAGACTATTAATGGATACTTTCACCGACAACAGAGACTTCATATTAAACGTTTTTAAACATGTATGGGAGAAGGTTTCATATTATTCTATCTCTTGTTTCATTATAAAACACATGGACGCTCAAATAAGAAAAGATGAATGTATTTAAATACTTCAAAGTATGCCACATAGAGTAGTCACAATAATGGACCCAGGTTGGCTATCAATAGGCCTTTTTCATATCAGACATTTTGAAATGTCATCATAAGGAAAGCAAAGGTGTTTCTAATAATAGTATATATAATGGCTTTGTTTTATTCAGTGTCCCTGCAATGACAATGTGACAGCTCAAACCAGGATCTATCTTTAATCTAACTATTTACACCTTTGCTTTTTCAGCTCTTAATGTCAAAATGTCAAAATGTGTTATTCAAATAAGTTGCTTCATGTAGTCAACTGAGATTCAGATAAGAATAGATGTAGCAGCTGAAAAGTCTTTTATTGAATAATGTCAGTATTTAAATGTTTTTAGAAGTGCTGTGACAATATAGGACTGGGATGGATTGATAAAAGTTATTTCTTACAGAGGAAACAACGCAGGCATAATACATTTCTAACAAATGTCTTAAATATCTACATTTTGGTTTAGTCCTGCATTTCACTAGTCAGTCGGAATGTGCCAAACTTTGGATGCACGATATGCAAAACATTTGGTCAGTGGTTTGATTTGATTAAACAGAACTACTATGACAATGTAAACTGTCATGAGGAGTTTTAACTGCATGTGTCTGATGCCCAAAAAGAGTTAAAAGAGCTTCTCATCAGGAGTAAGATTGTTATACTAGCTATATGTAATTGCTGTGCTTCCAACTGAACAAAGAATTTACAAGCAAACAAAAATATGTATTTAAAAAAAAAAAAAAAAAAAAAGTTTTTGCCCTGAGAGAGGAAAGTTGAAAAGACTGCTCGTGATCTGGTGTGGAGGAAGACTCCCTCTGTTGCTTTAAAAGCATGTTATTCTAATTACCCTGACGTATAAATGGCGACCATTTTTTTATCATTCATTTTCATAAAATGGAAGATAAGCTGCGAACACGTGGGTTCATCTATTTTGCATCTAAATGGGCAGTGGAATTAAACATAAAACCAGTGTCACGTACGTCCTGGTTCTTAATAAAATTACTCACGTCACTCGTTCATTCATTCAGTCTCTTGGTCAGGGAAGCGCTAAATACACAGCAGGTCTATAATGTTATCAGAGCATAAAGTGTTGGATATTACATTTTGAAATATTAAAAAAGATTGTTTTTATTACAGGCCATATTCATGTTTATGATTTTGTTATTAAAACTGTAATTTTGATCTGACTATGCCTGGTTGAGCCAGTTTAGTGGATCCTGAAACAATGAATTAGAACAGTTTTGTAGTGGCCATGGGTCTGAAGCAGCCGTTTGACCATCCACATCCAAACGTCTTCTCTGCCCCGAATACTGAGCGGAGCTTTAGCATCTGAGCTGTCATTCTCACGCCCACTCACCTCAGCCCTGACGCTCTCCCTCCCAGGTTTCAATATGCCATCCTTCATCCTTCATTCCTCAGAAGATTCCATTTACCTTCTCTATATATTTCACAGACACATTTTTCAGCTCTTTTTTGCCCCTTTTTTTTCCCAGCGCCCACCTTCCTCCATCCCTTTGCTGTCCCTCTCCCTCTGAAGCAATCATCCTTCTTCCTTTCCCACTTTATTTACATGACACCAAGGTTCTCTCAGAGGCAGGTGCGAAAGGCAAAAGGCAGCCTTTTACAAAGCGGTTCAGCTTTAATATCTTCCTCTTGCTTTTCGTCACAACCCAAGAGCTTCATAGCAGAACTAACAGTCCTCTGGTAACCGCGTTGTCCTTCTGTAAATATCATGGGCCCAGTCTCATCTTTATCTTATTACCACCTCTATCACTAAAGACCCTGAGTGTGGACCAATAACGTTTAGGCTTGATGGCCAGTTGACACCAGTCTCATATCATCCACCCATGCCCTGCACAAAACGCTGTGTAGAAAAACGCAAAGGACGTCTACAACCAAGCCAGACTTTACATGAAATTCAACATGGTATTTTGTGAGATGCTTTGTTGTGCTTTAGTTTGTGTAAACTTGTGTTTTTGAAAAGTCATTTTCTGTGGAAAGTCCTCGTGTGCTGTTAAAGTTTGTTTTGGTTTGTGAAATTTGGTGTTTTGAGAAATACTGTTTGTGAAAAGTTTCACTTTGTGAATCATCATTGAGTTTTGTTTCGTGCTGCGTTATGTGAAATGTATTTTTGTGTGTTAAAGAACGTTAAAATCCATGGTTCTTGGAAAGAAAGTGGTTAATGGTTGGAATGTGTGGGGCGCTGGTGGCATGGCGTTTGGTGCGTGTGCCTCATGTGCGGAAGTCGTTGAACATGGTTTCCATCCCACCTGTGGCTCCTTTCCTGCATGTCTTTCCTCACTCCCAACTATCCAACTATTATATGAATGAGTGCTGTCAGATGGGGCCCGCTCTTAAAAGGGGGTTTCCTACTGCCATTACAAATATTGCACATTTTGAGCCACTGCTGTGGTTTAATGTTATCGGCCCTTGGGGGTCCCCTACTGGCGTGGGGCTCCAAGCAGTTTCCTGCCTCAACTGTTGACAAGCTGTGTCTCAGTTTAGGAAACTAGCTACCATTAAATACACTGTCAAGCTGCAGCATGGGCTTATTCATTTTCCATCTCTTCAAGATGACCCATGTTTACATCACCTGACAACCACAGAAAAACATACAAAGGTATTAAGATTAAGCTATTTTAAGGCCCTTGTGACCCTTATACAACACACAAGACACTATTTCAACTGCTAATAATGGCAAAGTCTTAGGCAGCATTTTACTTTGTGAAGTTTATATCTATTTAGTGGAGCGTCCTTCCCCTTACACTGCTGCAGGATGAAAGTCCACAAAAGTACAAACAGCTCCATTTGTTTTTGATGTGGCTGGTGCAATTACGCTGCTCTTTGAGTAGTGAAGGGCAAGAAATTCATCATCAAACGTGAGTGCTAATTAGCCAACATTAGCTAATTAAGGTTACCTAACGATAGTGTCAGGATCACTGTCACTGTCAGTCATATTAGTTATTTCTCAGATTAAATTCTGTAGAAGTAAGAGCCAGGTTTGTCTTTCTGTTGGTCAGTTAATCCAATTAAACAAATACTTTCTTTCCTTTAAAAAAGAAAAGAAAAGCTGTTTAAAACACGTAGGTGGAAACTGAGACTGGTAACTTCTTAGTAGCGTGCAGCAGCAGTAGGAAGTTGTCTTTTTTTCCAGGTGGGTGGGCGGATCCTTGAGTCTGTGATGTCATGTGGAAGCTATGAATATGCGTCTTTAAAAACCTGTTATCAGTCAGGCTGTACATGCAATATCTACTTAAGTACAAAATGGAACAATCATTAAAGAAATCAGTGAGAGCCACAGACAAAGTGTAGTCTTATATCAGGCTGTGTGAAATATAATGAATGAACTTGCCACAAAGATATCAAACTCCTACAACTCAGAAAAGAAAAATACCAAGAAGGGCAAGAGGAGTTATTGAGAAATAAAACCTATTTGATATAGTGAGAGCAGTAAAAAAAAGTTGAAGGGATTTATGAGGAGTCTTTGGCGACTAGACTCCAGCGTGACATCGTCATTTTTTACGGCGAGAGTTATGCCGTGTGCAGCGCAGGAGTCTCGACACTGGCGGGGGTGAAAGAGCAAAGCAAAGGCGTCGCTGCGGATCTGGATGGAAGGCAGGAAGGCAAATATTAATCTTATTATACGGGGATATGTGACAACAAGGAGATGATAACCTCACAGAGGTCATGGTGAAAACTGATTGAACAAGAGATGCCCCATCCAGCTGATTGGGAGTGAAAGAGGAGGAATTCTAAACATGAAGTAAGCAGCATCCACCATCCTTCAAGATATCAAAAAGCAAAGTCAAGTGAAACCAGGATGGAATGATGCA